GGCTAGCAGCCGAACACTTTAACCACTGCGCCACCAGGGCTCCTAAATAGAGACCAAGAGAAGAAAAAGAGCTCCAGGTCAGAGGGGGCCACTGGGGAAGGCTGCATGGGAGACACAGCCTTTGCCCCACCAGAGTCTGGAAGGTTAGGGAGATGTCAACCAGCCAAGATGAGGGAGGCTTTGCCAGCTGAGAAGTGTGCAAAGCTAGGTGTGTTAGGCAACTGTCAGATGGGTTCAGAAGGGTAAATCAAGGCTGAAACATGGAGGGCTGTGAACACCAGCATAAGGAGTCAAGGTTTTCTCTCAACGGCTTCAGAGCCAAATTCTTCCTGTGTATGTGTTGCATTTGATCCACAGAGTGGTTTTTATTTTTAGTCTTTAATTAGATTCCAACCTTTAAAAATTGAAAGTGATCACTTGCTACCTGGCATCTAAGCTTCTCCAGAACAACAAGTGCTAGGCCCCATTGGCTGGGTGTGGCCAGGCTTGTTAGCATTGCCCACCTAGCCCCAGGAGGCAGTGTGAGTTTGAGACCCCTGCACTGACCTTTGGGGATGGATCGTTAGTGGACCTTACAGGACAGACCACCTGTCTGTCAGTTTGTCATGCTGTGGTGACTTTCCTGTTGCTATGATGCTGAAATCTATGCCACCAGTATTTCAAATACCAATGGGGTCACCCACGGTGGACAGGTTTCAGCGGAGCTTCCCAACTAAGAGAGACTAGGAAGGAAGGCCTGGAGATCTACTTCTGAAAATTATCCAATGAAAACCCTATGGATCACAATAGAATATTATCTGATATAGTGCTGGAAGATGAGTCCCCAGGTTGAAAGGCCCTCAAAATGCACAGTGGCTGCGGCAATGGACTCGAGCTTCCAACTATCGTGAAGATGCACAGGACCAGGCAATGCCTTGTTTTGTTGTACATGAAGTCTCCGTGATTTGGGGCCAACTCGACGGCAACTAATGACAGAGGATTTTGATCAGGGGAGAGTCAGGCTTAGGTCTGTGCTTCAGAAGGTCCGGCTGATGCTGATTACTATTAACAGTGGTGAAGCTGTTGATGAGAAGGGAGAACAGGAGGGGAGAAGCGAAGAAGAATAGCTAATATTTACTGAGCTTTTCCCACACGGAGGCTCTGGTCTATGTGCTTTACCCACATTAACCCATTTTGTTCTCACCATAACTATATGGGAGCCCTGGTGGCACAGTGGTTAAGAGTTGGGCCGCTAACCAAAAGGTCAGCAGTTCAAATACACCCGCTGCTCCTTGGAAACCCTAAGGGACCGTTCTACTCTGTCCTATAGGGTCACTATGAGTCAGAATCGACTTGACAGCAACGGGTTTGGTTTGGTTTGCTATAACCGTATGAGGTGAGTTTGCTGTCATTCCCTACTGTTCAGATAAGAAAACTGAGGCACAGAGAAATGAAGTCATTTGTCAAAGGTCACACAGCTGGTAAGTGGCGGAGCCAAGTAATTTGGCTTCAGAACGTAGCACTCATCGCAGGAGGTTGTCTGATTTTGAAGGAGAGGAGAACCCCCATCTGGGTACTAGCACAATGTGCTTTCCCAAATTCCTTCTCAGGAAGTCAGCTTTCTCTTAGTAAACTCGTCAGTTGGGGGAGAAGGGCAGAGGCATTCAAGAGCTCAGTCAGGTGGTTTGACTGCAGTCCTCGCTCCAGCCTCCCTGCTGTGTACCCTGCCTGACCAGTGAAATGCTGAAATGCTGACCCCATTGTGGGGACCAGCAGACCCCAGCAGGAAAGAAACACTCAGGGAGGATCCTAGGCCACCCCTGCTGTGGCTTCACCTGCCCCGTGACTGACCACGCCCAACCCTTCTTAGTCCAGTGAATTTGCAAAAAAAAAAAAAAAAGCCCATACGCAAACAATAACCAGTTCGTGCGTTTCCTGGCATCAGATGACTGTTTGGTTAAGAGCTTCCTCCCTCTCTGTGTACCCACTGGACACTCCTAACGTCCCCAGCTGCTGGTGGCCAAGTGGATTCAGGTGGTTGGTCACATGCTCGACCCCTGGGCAGAAACCCTCGTGGCCCTGGGGAAGCATTGAAGGATCCAGAAGAGAGGCCGGCCACTGAGGACCGCCAGCCCTGGCCCAGTGGCCACCCTCTGCCAGCTCAAAGTCACCTTTGCTCCAACTCCTCGGCCAGCCCAGAAACACCTCCTGCTCAGCTTGGTGGGAACCAGGAGGCAAGAACCAGGAACCGCCGGCTGGGCAATCATTAATTGGATTCTTCACATTCCTGGGCCCCAGGCGGCCTGAGAAGCATGCTCCCCCATAGAGCAGAGGCCGGGGACTGGTTCTTGGACATGCAGCTGACAGGCAAGGTTGTGCTGTCGGCTGCCGCGCTACTCCTGGTGACCGCTGCCTACCGACTATACAAGTCAAGGCCTGCCCAGGCCCCCCTTGGGGGTGGACACACCAAGGCTGAAGGCGGAGAGGAAGCAGAGGGCTCGGGGCCACCTGCTGTCATCCAGGAGGGTTCTCCCAGGGCGCTGCCGAGGGGGCCGCGACGCCGGAGGGCCAACGAAGGGGCTGGAGCTCCTCTGGGCTGCAGCGAGGAGAATCCGGGGGTCTCCTGTGTCCTGGCAACAGCAGTCACATCCAGAGACAGGGAGCCCAAGAGGAGAGACACCAGTGAGGAAGGGGCGGGGCAGTGCCTGGACTCTAGGCAGATTCCTCCTCCCTGCAGGGGCCAGGAAGCCGGAGCAGCATTTGGCGGTAAGCCTGACCCTCCCCACCATCCTTACTTGAGCTGTGAACCCAAAAGCTCCCCAGCTGGACTCAATGCAGCAGATGGCAGCCTTGTAGGTGATAAGCTTGCCCTGTGGAGGGACTGCCAACCCCCAGAGCAGCAAGTGGTGGGGCCGCCAGGCTCTCCTCATCAGCACTGGCTGGCCCACATGGAAGGCAGCAGTAACATGAACAAGACCTGGGTCTTGACCCGTGTATCAGGGGTCCACAGGGAAGAGGCTGACACCCTCCGTGCTGCCTCGGACATGGGCCTGGCCTTGCATCAGCAGGACAGGGCCACTGACGTTTGCTATACCTTCTCGTCCATGGCCCGCATTCGAGTGGAGGAGAACTTCATACAGGAGAAGATGGCGGCGGAGAGCAGGCCCAGGCTGAAGGGCAAGGTGTATGAGTACTATGTCGAGTCCACCTCTCACGCCATCTCTAGAGGCAAGCTGGCCACTAGGGCTGCTGTCCTGACTGAGGCTCCATCCCCTGTGCCAGGCCCCCTAGGGACCAGGGCAGTGTCCAGGGGCCATGCCGATGACACAGAAGGTGGAGAGGAAACAGTCGCCTCCTCCCAACCTATGCCAGCTACCGCCACACCTGGCTTAAGCAGGAAGGAGAGCCTCCTCCAGATTGTGGAGAACCCAGAGCTTCAGCTGCAACTCGGTGGCTTTAGGGCCCCAGCTTCCCCTGGCCCAGACCAGGGAGCTCCACCTGACTGCCCTCCATCCCTGGATTCCAGCTCAGCCAGAAGCAACGTGGAGCCCCGCATACAGCTCGTAGCTGGGACCAATTTCTTCCACCTCCCGCTCAGCCCCAGCTCAGCTCTGGACATCCACCTGGACCTGGGCAATTGCTACGAGGTACTGACCTTGGCCAAGAGGCAGAACCTGGAGTCGCTGAAGGAGGCAGCCTACAAGTTGATGAGCGACAATTACCTACAGGTCCTGCGAAGCCCAGACATCTACGGCTGCTTGAGCGGAGCTGAGCGGGACCTGATACTCCGACGCAGGCTCCAGGGCCGCCAGTACCTGGTGGTGGCCGATGTCTGCCCGCAGGAGGACTATGGCCACCTCTGTTGCTATGATGATGAGCAGGACACCTGGCACCCATTGGCCGGCCTGCCCACTGAAGCCGTGTCCCAGGGCTGTGCCATCGGCACTCTCTTCAATTATCTCTTCATGGTGTCTGGTTGCCAAGGGCCCAGGTGCCAGCCTTCCAACCGTGTCTTCTGCTATAACCCACTGACGGGAATCTGGAGCGAGGTGTGCCCGCTGAGCCAGGCCCGGCCCCATTGCCGGCTGGTGGCCCTGGACGGGCACCTGTATGCCATTGGGGGCGAATGTCTGAATACAGTGGAGCGTTATGACCCCCGCCTGGACTGCTGGGACTTTGCGCCGCCGCTCCCCAATGACACGTTTGCCCTGGCGCACACGGCCACGACCTGCGCTCGGGAGATCTTTGTCACGGGCGGCACGTTGCGCTACCTGCTGCTGCGTTTCTCCGCCCGGGAGCAGCGCTGGTGGGCCGGCCCCACAGGAGGTGGCAGGGACCGCACCGTCGAGATGGTGGCAGTCAATGGCTTCCTCTACCGTTTCGATCTCAACCGCAGCCTGGGCATTGGCGTGTACCGCTGCAGTGCCAGTACCCGGTTCTGGTATGAGTGCGCCACGTACCGGACGCCTTATCCAGATGCCTTCCAGTGCGCGGTGGTGGACAACGTCATCTACTGCGTGGGGCGCCAGCGCGCTCTCGTTTTCCTGGCAGACCACATCTCACCCAGGTTTTTGCCCGGGGAGCTGCAGAGCTTCCCCTCCCCGAGGGGCACCCTCCTGCCAACCGTCCTGACCCTGCCGGCTCCCGATGTGCCCCAGACCAGGGTCTAGTGGTCCGTCTGCTGAGCTCCTCATGCAAAACTGGAAGGCCAAGAGCACCACCCAGCCCATCACTCCACGGGCCGTTTCTGGGAGATCAGGCGGCCCAGGAATTGGTCAGCAAAAAATGCATTCTAATCCTATCTCCATGAGCTGTGGAATCTTAGATGAGTCTTACCCTCAGTGGGCTGCAGAGGCCAAGTGAGAAAAATAGAGCTGGTGATTGACATTGCTAGGCAGAGGGCACCACGTCTGCAGGGGTGAGCAACACATTGTTTCTAATCTAAATTCTTGGGGGGATGGGTACACCAGGACCACCAAAATTTATGGGCACAGCTTGATGGCAGCCATGGTTCTATATGCCAATTGACCCCCAGTGACACCTCATGCTGACCCCTCTGAAGGTGGGCCAGCTCTCTATAAGCCACCAGAGCCCCTTCCTAAACATTGGCCACTAAGCCCCTACCTCTATAGTTCCCAGAAGCACCTGGGACACACAGGTGGGGAAAATGGAGGGATGTGGTTCTGGCAGGACCAGGCAGGAACCCAGGGGAGCTCAGGGGACCAGCCAGAGGGGGAGGTAGTTTGGGAAGTAGAGCAGCTAAAGGTGGAACTTTCCATGGGGTCCCTCTTACTTTCTTGCAGAGTAAACTTAACCAAACCCGCTTTACTTCTTCTCACTGCCTTGAATTCTAGTAGTAGAACGAGGAGAAACATGTGTTTTTAGCAGTCATTTGAAATGGGACATCTTCACATAGTGGTCTACCAAGAATACAGTTGATTCTATATACAAGGTCTCAGGACAGGGAGGCCAAATATGGGACCCAAGTGCCACCCTCCTCATAGGCCCCTGCTCATGGTAGCCGTTGCTAATTGACTGCCACACTCTTTCTCCTGGATCTCAGAATCCTTCTCAACACATCCCTCCTGTCTGGGAGCTGGAGGCAGCCCAGTCAGTCCTTCAGGGCTAGTATGGAGGTGATGACATAATTTTCCCTCCCTGTGCCATGTGGTCACCTGGTTTGTCTCATCAGACAGGAGAGGACCGAGACGGGTTGGTCCATGATGGAGCTAAGGAGCTACAAGATTCTAGTAGAGCATCCAGATGCCAGGGTCTCATTTCACACCAGGTTTGCTGAATTCTGAAATAGAAGAGACTCTAACTTCAGGAAGCTACTGTTCCTCCTGGAGGGAAGGGAGAGAGACTGGCCCAGTCTATTACCATGGCCCTGGTTCCATCTCCAAGGGAGGCACATGCAAAGACATGAAAGCTGTGAATGCTCCAGAAGCCAGGGGAGCCGGGACTGATTCTAAACTGACAAGAGCCTAGAGGGAAGAAGTGGAGGCAGGGCAGGGGCTAACAAGTGAGAAGAAGAGAACACTTTGGACTTCATTGTTCCTATCTTGAAAATAGAGAGAACAACTCATGTCCTTCTCTGCCTCGGGGGTAAATGAGAGAAAGTTGCAGGGTTGTCTCGGCAGGAGCTTGTGTTCACTGCAGCTGCTGGGGCTGAGGCCGGGGTCTTTCTGGAAGATGCAGGATTGGGACAAAGAATGAGAAAGAGGTTGGCGTGGCGATGAGAAAAGACCTTTATTGGACCACACAAGGCCACCCTCTCTGGCCTAGAGCCTGAGATGAGGCTGCCAGGTTTATTCCTAAGTTGCAGACTGGGAGCGGAAAGTCAACTGGTCGCTGGGGAGAGTGGTCCCCAGCCAAGGCCATGCCTAAGCTCAGTGTCAGGCATAGGCCAGGTACTTCCAGTGGACATGATTTGGAGAGGTGATATATGTCCAGGACGAGGTATGAGATTTCTTCCTGCTCATTCCACCTGAAGCATGTTGGCCTCCATGTTGATGGGAGTGAGTGTGAGGACACCCTGCAGCCCCTTCCCCCTGCTGGGAAAGTAGCTCCCCGCCAGCTGGACAATGGAGTCAAATGTCCTGGTCTCAGAATTCCCTGGGACCTCCACAGCAGCAGGCTATGGGCACCAGGTCCAAGAGGGTGGATATCACTCAGGCACCAGCCTCCAAAGGGCTCACAGGGTGGGGGCATGGCCTCAGGGACATGACTCCCAGGCGGTCATTGGCATTGTGATGCCAGGCTGGGGGAAAGATCTGCCTGGGAGGACAACCCAGTCTGAGATCTGGGGACAAGTGGGACCAGATCCAGCGTCCAAGGGTAGCTTCTGGTGAGGGTCTGGCATAGGACAAAATCAGACTAAGCTGAGTAGAGCTCAGGGAAGGGTTCTAGACCCAGAGGGGACCAGGGATCATAGAAGCCCATTGCATCCATATACTAGGGACCAGGGAAATGATTCCAGGGATAAGGCAGCAAAATTTGTTTCAGACCCCAATTGCTGGTGTGTGTGGTCTTCTTAATGAGAGGGGAATCTGAAATTTGGGCCTGGTCTCAGATGGGAAATACACAGCACATCTAATATACCTCCTTTATGTTCCCATGCAGACATCACTAGTGGATCACAGTATCTTTTCCTGTTGAATCCTTATAATGGCCCCAGAACTGTTTCAACACAGGGTCCCAGGCAGATATTACTAATAGATTAGAGTCCCGGTGTATTTATCATCCCTGGCCCTGGTGTCAAGAGCTGGGTTTATGGATGACAGTGGTCAGGGCCATCATGGTACAGCAAGGTGGCTCAGGGGGGCCTGGAAAGACCCCCTGAGGTCATGATGGTAAAGATTCATCCGTTCACTCATGAAACAAACTTTTATAGGACTTCCTATGGGCCAGGCACTAAACGCATAAACAAGTAAATAAAACTTACACTGGGTAAATGAGATGAAGATAAGGCAGGCAAGTGAGATAGTGAAGGCCAGGGGGAGGAGGAGGGGTGCTCTTTTAAATAGTGTGATCAGGCCTCCCTCGTCAGGCAACATTCAAGCAGAAGCCTAAACAGAGATCTGGGATATGCATAGGCGAGGACTGGCTCAGGGGACAAGAAGGCTGGCCTTGTCTCCAGAAAGACTTTACCATGCTAGCCAGGGAGGGCAGGGCTGCCTCCAATCAGCACCATATTGGTGCGTGAAGGAGAGCAGGTGCCCTTGTATACTGGAGAGGCTTTTGCTCTAGACAAGCCACTTTCCCTATCAGAGCAGCAGAGCCTGCACATTTAGGGGTGAGAGTAAAAACAATCGCCAGCATGTCCCTGACGCCAGACCGCACTGGGTCAGCTAGGTATCAGCCTGCAGATATCACTTTATGAGGTCAGTCTAGGATTTCTGCTTGACCTGGTGTAATTGCCTGGGGTCTGCGGACCTTCTGCCCTTAGACTCAGGGTAGCCTCTGTGTCACTTGGCTGCCTCATGAGTCATCTAACCTGTTTTCCCAGTAAGAGTTCTTTCTTCTTTAGAAAGAAAATTAAATTTGGGTTGCTTTCTACTTTAAGCCAGCCATGCCCATTTTAGAAAAAAAATAGAGAAAAGTATAGCAAATCTCCCCAATTTTGCCACCCAAAGACAACCCCCACTGTGATGTGAGTCCCTCCAGTCTTTTTCTTCTACGTTTGGTTTTTGTTTGGCTTGAGTTTTGCCTAGGTGTGATTATGCTGACTATGCAATTTGTCTTCCTTTTTCACTTAGCATTTCAGAATAAGCATTTTCCCGTGTTATTACAAACTCGGGTAAACATCATTTCAATACTTGTACCATATTCTAGCGAGTGGATGTACCATAGTTTATTTAAACATGCCCCTTTCCTGTTGGACCTATAGATTCCTTTTTTTTTCCCCCCTCCCCTTTGGTTTCTTTTCTATCATAAATAAAACGCCCTTTGTTTTCTCCTTCCTGTCTGTCTGGGGCCTCCATCAATATTTAACAAGAGAAGCCCTAACTAGATCCTGTCTGGAATAGCAGGGTTGTCAAAACAACCACAGAGGCCAGAGCATTCGCCTCAGGCTGGGGTCTGGCCCCATCTCTGGCTGTAGGACACAGCGCTGCCCAGAGAGAAAGGTGAGGCTAGCTGGAGGGGGTCAGCCCAGGTGCCCTTCCCTGTGGTATTCCTGGCGCCAGGATGTGGGGCAGGGAGCCACGTCTATTGAGTCTCTACTCTGCGTATGGAGACCTGGTGGCACAGTGATTAAGAGCTTGGCTGCTAACCAAAATGTGGGCAGTTTGAATCTACCAGCTGCTCCTTGGAAATTCTATGGGGCAGTTCTATTCTGTTGTATAGGGTCGCTATGAGTCAGAATCAACTCTACAGCATGGGTTTGGTTTTTTTTGGTTTACTCTGCATATACAAGGCACTGAACTAGATGCTTTATATTGATTGCCACATTGATCCTCACAACAGCCCCTGGAGGTTAGCCGTGGCACCCCCATCTTATAGGTGAGGCTCAGATAATTTAAGCAAACTTGCCTTAATATCAAAGTCCAAGGAACCTCAGTTTCCTCAAAAGTGTACTTGAACCCAGGCTCTCCCACTCTTAGTCCGGTGCTCTTTCCTCTCCCTTATGATGGGGTCAGGAGCCCTGGTGGTGCAGTGGTTAACAGCTATGGCTGCTAACGAAAAGGTCGACAGTTCGAATCCACCAGCCGCTCTTTGGAAACCCTATGGGGCAGTTCAGTCACTATGAGTTGACATCAGCTTGACGGCAACAGGTTAGTTTGTTTTTATTATGGGGTCACCATGAGTTGGAATTGACTTGATGGCAACCAGTTTGGTTTCGTTTTGGTTTATGATGAGGCACTGACTTGGCATCAGTTACTCTTAGGCTGCCCCCAACCTCATCTCCACCCCCTGCCAATCAGTTATGCTCCATCCTTGAACTTTGAACACAAAGCAAATTTTCTTAGATTCTTGACCCTCAATATTCACATCTGTAAAATGGGTTCACCACTGCCAACCTCCTGGGGATGTGGTGAGGACTAACAAGAGAATACGCGTGAAGCACCCAGCCGAGGGACTGGTCTGAAGTTGGTCTCAGAAGAACCATTGTCTTCTGCACAAGGGGTGCCCTGAGCCAGCTCAGAGGAGGCTCTTCTCGTATGCCCAC